CCTGTTCCCGCAGACCTATTTACCATGCTGAATGGGGGAAGGTTTTTCGCTAAGCTGGATCTAGCTGATGCTTATTTGCAAGTGGAAGTAGATGAAGCATCAAGAGAGCTGTTAACTATCAATACCCATCGTGGTTTGTTCCAGTATAACCGTCTACCTTTCGGGGTCAAAACTGCACCACCTATTTTCCAGCAACTAATGGATACCATCCTATCAGGTATCTCGGGAGTCGCGGCTTATCTGGATGACATTTTAATTGTAGCGACGACATTAGAACAGCTACGAGAACGCACGACATTGGTACTGCAACGCATCAGTGACAACGGTTTCCGGTTACGCTCAGAGAAATGCCAGTTTTATTTGCAGTCGGTAAAGTACTTGGGGTTCATTTTCGATGCCGACGGCCGCAGGCCGGATCCTGAGAATATCCGAGCTATCAAACTGATGCCACTCCCACTAATGTCTCGGCACTACGTTCCTTCCTGGGACTTGTCAGCTATTACTCAGCGTTCGTTCCATCGATGCATGATATTCGCGCTCCACTGAATAGCTTACTGCAGAAGAACAGCTCTTGGAACTGGACTAAACAGTGTGACGCTGCCTTTTGTAAACTGAAGTCCATTATTAGTTCGGAATTGCTGTTGACACACTACGATCCAGCCATGCCGATCATCGTAGCTGCAGACGCTTCAGCGTATGGCCTAGGCGCTGTTATCTCCATCAGTTTCCGGATGCGTCGGAAAAAGCCGTTATGCATGCTTCCCGCACACTAACCCAGCAGAAAAAAATACAGCCAGATAGAAAAAGAAGCTCTTGCGCTTGTGTTTGCTGTGCGCCGTTTCCACAAGTTCCTGTACGGTCGGAGATTCACGCTTCTCACAGGTCACAAGGCTTTACTCGCAATATTCGGGTCGGAATCTGGCATTCCAGCTCATTCTGCAAATCGTCTTCAGAGATGGGCCTTAGCACTCTTGGGGTATGATTTCGAGATCCAGTACCGACGCACTCAACAATTCGGTCAGGTGGATGCCTTATCACGACTCATTAGTGACCAGTTGACGGCTGAGGAAAACACGGTAATCGCATCTCTGCTAGCGGAAGATCACGCCGAATGTTATATGACGACCGCAATACGAGCTTTGCCGGTATCTGCAACAGACGTACAAAATGCTTCTAAGAGCGACCCCATCATGAAGATGACTGTAGTGTTAGTCATTAGCTTTAGCCCATAATATATCTTATTCTAGTTTTCGGACATCCCATTCTATTCATTCTACTTGAGTCACACTTTGACCTTGTTATTTATTCGCTTATCAATCTAGACTGTTTTTATATGAGCGTATATGTGTGTGCCCTTCTTATCCCATTAATCACATGTCTGTATCTTTATTTTGTCTGACTATAAATATTGAGTAACGCTTGACTAAAATGGAGTTGGCTTCCCAGCCATCCTCCCTGCGCGTCATTTTGCTCTGTTCTATTACATTCAATTTACATACAAAATATATGTATTCAAAGGCCATTCTCGTTAATTGACTTATCTAAATTCCGTTATTGACTAAAGTGATTTAAGTCGACGATGATATACGAGAAAAGGCGATAACAATCATTTATACGATCTAGGAGTCAGATCCACGGGCCACTAAAATGGTGAGCCCTTCAACGAATATCGTCGATCTAAATGAGGACAAAGTCAAACTACGGGCCTCCACATGACTATGAGCTATGTCACCAACGGTTGGCCGTCTAAGAAGTTTCATGGTGACATGAAGCAGCTGTATCAGCGGCGGGGTTCGCTATGTGTTGTAAACGACTGCTTGATGTTCGGATAAAGAGTGGTTGTGCCAGAATCCCTTCGTGCGAAAGTGCTAAAACAGTTCCATCTTGGTCATCCGGGAGTTAGACGAATGAAATCCATAGCCAGGAGTCATGCATATTGGCCGCTAATGGATCAACATATAACAGAATTGGTTGAAAAACGTATGCGGTGTCAGCAAGCGGCAAAGGTGAACGCCAAAGTTCCACCAGTTTCATGGCCATAACCTGATCATCCTTGATCCAGGATACACGTCGACTTTGCAGGCCCGATCAACGGAACCATGTATCTAGTTTTAGTCGACGCCCCTTCGAAATGGCCAGAAATCAACCCTATAATACCGCCAACGACGACTAAAACAATACAAATCCTCACAGAAATTTTCTCCCGAAATGGTATACCGGATGCCATTGTATCTGACAACGGTTCACAGTTCACCTCCAGCCAATTCCAGTCATTCTGTCAACGGCTAGCCATAAAGCACTTTCGGTCGCCACCATACCACCCGTAGTCGAATGGGCAAACAGAAAGGTTTGTGGATACGTTTAAAAGAGCTTTGGCTAAGTCAAAAGGGGAGGGGACGCCAGCGGACGCGTCGCCAAATTTCTTATATGTATACCAAACAACACCAAATGAGACGTTGCCGGAGCGAAAGTCCCCAGCAGAGATCCTCATGGGAAGGAGACTGAAGACGATCCACAGCCTGATGCATCCAAGTAATGCACCGACACCAGAACGGACAAAGTTTGAAAAGCAATCCACGTACGAAGTGGGATGTCCTGTGTTTGCCCGTGACTACAGACCAACCCATGGTCCATGGACGGAAGCGCGAGTGATCAGAAGAGTTGGCCGAGTCATGTACGAAGTTGAGGTAGGCAGCGACAGGTGGCAACGCCATCAGAGTCAGTTACGCAAACGGCTAGCCCCAGACCGCCCATCAACCGAAGCAAATATTCCCCTTGAGATCCTGATAGACACATTCAACTTACCGGCAGCTCCGCCACAAGAAAACCTAAACAATAAGCGGAAGCGCGCTCCAGACGGTGGCCTCTCCGACAGCGGCGAGCAACAGTCAAGATGCGGGTCGACCCCAGGAACGCACGCTATTATAAAGGGGAGGAGTGTTAGGGACGATAGATCCACAAAACTCATATTTTGTAATTTTATCTTGTGGAGCTTGTATGCAGATGTATGCTTGGACATTTCTTACCACCCACGCACATAGTCGATTGACGAACTTATCGATTAAATGTTTAAAAACTTCCATGGCAATATCGATCATATATATTTTGTATAAATACGCTTGATTTGTGTGCTTGATGGACCTGGTATCTTCTGGTTGTTTGTAGAATACACTTTCTACATCTTACCAATACTTCTGGATCGAGTTAGCTGAGTCGGGGACAACAGACCAGTATAGCCTATCGAGTCTCTGAATCCTTGATTCTTCGTTCCGTTCCGAGTAAGACGAATCAGTAGTAGTATTCAAGTTTAACGAACACGAAAAGACCGAACTCATTTGTGTGTATTAAACAGTTGTTCAGTAATAGTTCGTGAAAAATAAGCAGGAGCAGTTCATATTTTAAAAGTTATTATCGAAATTTATTTTATTTTATTTTGAGATGTATCTGGTATTGTTAGGATAGTCGGAAAAATATACCAATAATTATCGTGTTAAGTCTAAGGTGGCCTTGGACCTTAAATGTACATTTCTTATTGGTCGATGTTTATTTCACTTGTTAAATATTTTGTAAATGTTGTTTCCTATTTTATGGTACGATGTGGTTTGTTTGTTTGATATATAAATAGAGTATGTCTGAGATACAATGATTCATAACTCAGAGGCTGTGACTTGCGTTCTTGACTCAACTGGCTAGGACAGACAGCGAAGCAGGGCCAATCAGGGCACTAGGTCGTCCACTACGTGTTTACGTATCCACTGTCACAGAAGCGATCGATAAATACGCTGCTTATCAAAACCTGCAGTCTCACACGTTACAACAGGTATTAATTTCTGTGATATTCGTTTAGTTAGTTTAATCAATGGTTGAAGAAATATTTATCTTCGCTGTTGAATTGGTATTTTAATTTTCAGTCATCCATTATAAACTGCAGATTGATACTTACCATAAGAACGTTTTTTTCTGGGAAATTCATAGTGCAGAAGTTTATAGCTACTAATGTGGTTATAACTTTCTGACTTATAATGCGTCAAATCTCAGTTTAGCTTAATTAAAATCGTTAAGTCTTGATGTTTGATGCCCTTTTTCGTATCTTATATGATAATTAAAATAACCCATAGTGTCATTGAATAAGAAAAAGAGAATTCAGCGAAGAAAATTTTCTTTTCGACGAAATCATTTACTTAAGCTGTACATTCGTATATATAGTTATATGGAAAATGTATGTCTATAGAAGGATAGAATGGATTGTATCACAAAAATGGATTCGACAATAAATAACAAATGAGGTTACGTACTAATCAAGGGGTAAGGAAGAACAAAATTTAAGGGTCAGATAATAGTCCAATTGACAGATACGAAGAAAAACGACAAAACAACAAAGGTCACAATAATAGACTGAATAATAATCAAGAAAACTTGTAAAAGGTAATAATAATAAATGATTAGAGTTTAAAGTGCAAAATGTAATAATAAAAGTGCAATAAAAAAACACACCTAGAAACATACCCATTAAGGGAATTAGGGCCAGGGTACTATTATCTGACCCTTAAATTTTGTTCTTCCTTACCCTTGATTAGTACGTAACCTCATTTGTTATTTATTGTCGAATCCATTTTTGTGATACAATCCATTCTATCCTTCTATAGACATACATTTTCCATATAACTATATATACGAATGTACAGCTTAAGTAAATGATTTCGTCGAAAAGAAAATTTTCTTCGCTGAATTCTCTTTTTCTTATATGAATTTTGCTGCTCATATTTCGAACTGAAAAAGGCTAAAGGTACTTTATGTTAATTGGTTGAAGTGCTTTTGTCACAGCGGAATCAAAGATTATTTGTAAAAGGTCTGTTGTTTCTGTCATCCAATTTTGACTTGTTTTTCTTCAGAATAGAAAATTCCTAATCGCTAATGCACGTCGATTTTAATAATTACTTACATAAATATTTTGATTTTCAACGATTTTTATTGATGGCTATTCTTTCCATATCGTTCAGCTACTAGCATCGGAAGTTCTCCGAAGAAAGGTGTGGTATGTGCTGCAGTTTTGGGCCCAGGAGGAACAACCGTTATTCCTCGACCCTTGTCATTGCGTCCTAATTGGTCGGGAAATCCACGTTTTGGTGGGGTGGGATCCACATCCTTGTTAAATACGGGTGTAGCTCAAGGTATTTCAGATCAGCTGTCATACTGTTTGCCACCTCCCGCTCCTGCACATTTACAACTTCCTATACTACCGGAACCTCACACTTTCCTAAATACACGTGTTAAACGAGCACCGATTGCTTCTGATCCGTCTTCATTACGCCGTCGTGTAGTTGAACAACGTCGTAAAGTTCAGGAGTCCTTAATTCGGTTTTTGGGTCGTGTTCAGCCTGTTCAATACCTATTTCCGGGTGATGCTGAATCGTTCATGTGTATGCTATTTCTCTTTCAACCAAATTTATATATTTTTTTCTAGTTACGTTTCTTACGATGACAAGTTTTTTGAAAGCATTAACAATTGTTACCATTGGGATGTAAATAAACAGAAAACAATATTACTTTTCAGTCATAATTCACATAAAAGCTGAAACGAAATAATATTGCACTTTGGAGTATTTCAGCAACATTTTAAATCATATTTGCTACCGGATACTAGTTAGTTTAGCCTATTTTTCTTTGAAGTACGTGCTGATGATATTGTCTACGAGGACAATAGAAGTTTTGCAACCAAGCCATCCAACTCAGAGAACACAACATCTCCAACATTCTCACCCTGAGATACAAATAAACTCCATCATTTGGAAAAAGTCATCATTAGTCTAACCATAGTAGTTTGTCAACCAAAATATTTACTTACAGAACAATGAAAACCAAATAATTAGGCGATATGTCACAGAATATGAAATTATGAAAAGAGGAAAATTTGATAGTAATTAAAAAATTAGCAGAATAACACACTCAAGAAGTTGCTTGTATAATAAAAAAGTAGCACAACATATGCTAAGTTTATTTCTAAGATATATCTGCTAGTATATGGAGTTACATAGTCGTCCAACTTTTGAAAATCTATTTTATTAATTAGGATTTCTAAAACTTCATGCGCCTCCAAAATTATTGCAAAAGAACATGCAGCAAACAGCCTGTCAGCAATAATTTGATAAATCCAAAGTGTGGATTAAACAAAGAAGTATTTCATAATTAAAGATGGTGTGGGGTACAAGAAGTTGTTCATTACCTAATTGATTACAATTCTGATTTGTATGGTTTGTCACATGAAACACATAATCTGGTTGTAACATTATATGCAGTCAAATGATTCATTAAAATTAATTCCAAACACCGATTTCTTATGCAATAGTAGTAATGAAAAAATAAATATAAGTAATGCAATCCTTGAAGGTAAACAACAGTTGACCAACGATGGGATGGATCATAAAATTCGGTTTAAGGATTTGCATTTGCTTGTCTAACTACATTTACGTTTTTGGGTAATCTACAATATTAATATATATAATGTTCGTGTTTATCTGTTTTTATAATGATATAACTTTAGAATAAGTAATATATTTTTTCGTTTCTATTTTATGGCATAAAATCTAAATCAACCATGTACAGTGATCACTCCAAAAGAATCACCTCGTCCATATCTATCAGCTCTACTTGCTAGTGTAAACAACGACTGTGATATGAAAATGTCAATGACAGACAACAAAGATGACCAAAATCTTGTGAAGTCTAAGTCAAACGTTTTTGTAAATAGTAATTCTAATCAATCTCCTGAAACAAAAAATCCATTTTTATTAAAACCGAAATTTCCTGAATACTGACTAATACTGTGATTAGATATACACTTTGTACATATTCCTTTAATATTTTTAGATAAACCTCCATAATAAATTCTTTATAATTTTCAAAAATTGGATTTAATGTGCTTCGTTTTTTCAAATTAACTAGTTGGAGAATGGATGTGATTTTTTTTAGGAATAATACTTTTGACCTGTTCATCAATGGAACAAAAGTCGACGAACGAACGCAATATTATTAGATGACTAGGGAGAATAAAGTTAAACAGCATAAAGGGACAATGTCGTTATTCACCGCAGGTAATGGAAGACGTCCGTACAATATCACGAATTGATTGAAAGTAGACATATACACCATTGGATGCCAACTCAGTGATCTAGAGGTTCAGCGTATACGCGCGAAACCGAAGGTTCTGAAGTTGGTTCCTAGTGGCAGGGTCATGGATGCACACTCCTGAGCCCCATACTAAAACGAAACAACTGTACCATGCTTTCAGGTTTTCAGTGATCTAGGTAATATCGTTTAGTGGTTTAAAATATGAAAATATTATCCTTAATTTGATCTTCGTCAGGCGTTACTCTAATTGGCTACCTCATTGTATATAATATCGAACTTGATATGACATGATTTCATCCTAATTAATAGTCAAATGGATGTACAATCAATATATAAATAAGTGTATTTTCGACTAGGGTCGTCGTCGTGCTTTGGGGTTTAATGAATCTTCACTTGTACCAGTCTTGGTGTTCTTCGTGTCGTGGGAATTGCAATGGTTTCTCATTTTAAAAGTATAAGTAAGTGAACTCATTGTATTGAAGATAATTGAATTGGTCAGTGAAATATGGATGGTAGCGAGATCGTGTAGATTAGCAGTTCTATTACCCAGCAGTCCTTGGTTGGATATTTGCTTAGGCTAAGGTTGGTCATAAGTTCCATTGATCGTCTTTGTTCGTTTATGCATATATCTTGATTTTCTCTTAATTACTATCATTATGCTATCTTCATAACACCACGTAACTTTGGAGAGCATACCTCTTGGTACTAGTGCTCCATTGGATAGTTTTAGCAAATAAAAATGAACCTTATTACCATTTATCCAAAATTCCAGATTCTGTCTTCGATCTATTGGTTAATTGCTGCTCATTTGGATTCAAACCGAATAATCGGAGAATGACTGATATCACGAATATACTACTGATGAAAGAGAATAGGTTATTTTAAAGAGGACATTTAAGTGCTGACTCTGTGGAACTATTAGTTGAACAGTTTTTAAAATCCTATATTGTATCATTGACGGTCACTTTAATGACTATGTTTAGATGAAAAGCGACTAGAATTAAAGTTTTTATTGTTAGGGGCGATTTTGAACAACACTGTTACTTATTCAAAATAAATGTGGGCTTCAAACTGACTAGGGTCTACTGACTGACGTAAGTTCACATTGCTAAGTTGAATCCAAGATGTTTTTATTAATAAAATCGTTACGTAAAAAATATAATGGATTTTATTATGTCGAAATTGTATTTACCTACATTCAAATGTTTGAGTTTTAATATATGTATACATTTCTAGTCGACTGTTAAAAAAAACTAAGTATTTTGTTGATCAGTTCAATTGATAAACCCTGTTATGCAGAATTTGTAATTCCTCAACTGATTGTAGAAATTTATTCAGAAAGTTCCTCATGCATGACTCCCACGTTTCAACTTCACATTGTATTGATGAGCTTGTTTTATCTAATTCTGGATTTCGTCGCAGTAATTGTTCTTCTTGATCAATCAACCCATCTGGTGTTTCTTTTTGATTTTCAGACTTATCTATCTGAATTTAAAAAGTAATAAATATAAAAGCATTTTCATCATTAAGTTTCATCAGCTGGAAAGTAAGAGAGAAATAGATTGCTGTTTCGTTCTATTTTTTAACTTTTCGGGAACACATATGATTCCACAAGGGACCGAATTTATGATCGTCTGTAAGTATGAAGCTTTCATTGATTCAATCAGAATCCGAATCTTTATATTTTCTGACCTTACTTGACTTGCTATATAGTGCAGCCAGAGTCCTATGTCATCAATGAGGTTAACTTCAGTCTCAATATATTTGAGTTTCATATTCTATAAAACCGTCATACAATCACTACGGTTACTAATGACCATATCCTTTAAGATGGATCTCAATAAGTCCCAATGCTAAGTCATAACTTATAGAGCTAATTAGTTGAGAAGTGTGATAATCCACCTACAATATTAAATGGTGGTCTCTTGATTGGAATTGGGCAAATGAGTCACTGTTTTTCGACATGACAGATCTATTATATCATGCTCGCCCCTAGTTCTGAAAAAAAAAGGATTCCATTTTGTGCGTTCACAATATCGGGTAGTTCTAAACGCCGACAAATGAAACAGTCTATTACTTCCTAGTTTCTACTTGTTCTGAAGCTCAATTACTTTCATGTTGTACAAAACATTCACACACAAGTTAATAAGTAAACATATATATTGCAGGATATCAATTAAGAAAGATTGAAAGCCAAAATATTGATAGTTCATATCGTAGGACTTTTTATTGGTAAGCATCTATGAAATTGTAAAAAATTATGCCTGTAATTATTGGTAACAAATTACATTGATTTGAATTCCATTGATTATTACTTTTGACTTTAATGAACTAATCAAGTATAAACAGATATATCCTCACAGCTGGATGGGTTTCAGTTTTCTAATACGACTAATGATTGTTTCTTAGTTCTACAATGATGAAACCATTTGCCACGTATTGTATACATTTTAATATTTGTCCTACAAATTCACGTATATGTATTATCTTTAAAGAAATTAGTTCAAATGATTTTAGTTATAAATGTTACTGAAGAGCCCTTATTACTGTCACATAGATTAACCAAATGCAATTCTGAATAGCAACAATAACCTGAAAGTACAAATTCTTAATATTACTATTAGCAATACCACAATAACATTTGTAATTTGCCTTTAATATAAATCATGGAATACTTATATGTACCACAATTTTTCGAGAAATAGTCATTCACATAAATGTCACTCGATATATATTCATATGTAATTTTATTTCTACTGACAAATTATCATGAAGTTGATGAAAAAAAAGATTCAGTAAAGATTTTAATCAGAGGAACCTGCTCAAGAGTTTGGGTCACGTATTTTCTAACTGTGCAGATATTACAATTAATTTAACTGCATTAGATTCGTTTGAAGTGCATCATAATAATTACTAACTGTATGAACTTTTAGTGACAACTGTATCTGGCTCGAATTAAATCGTATGGTTACTGTTATCGAAATAATACATACTGCCAACTCTCGTATATTTTTATCGACTTGGTTCGTGTCAGAGAATAACGAAATGAAATAAGTCAAATACAAGAATGGATTTTGGATATGTATACTTCTTATACTCATTTATCCAGACAGACAATCAAAGAAACGAAGTGACGCTCAGCGTAGATGGAGGGTGAGCCAGGTCGTTCTGATTAAGTGTGACTCAATATTTATAGTCAAACAAAAATAAATTACAGACACTCAATGAATGAAGCAAACAGTTAACTCACATACCATATTAAAACAGTCGTGGTTAATCAGCAAAACAATAGCAACGTCAAAATGTGGCTTGAGGATAATGAATAATTTGGTCTGTCCAGGAGCTAGAATAACCTATTTGGGCTTGACATAGTACCAGCCGCTACAAACTTACATATTATTACAACCGGGTTACAAATTATTATTAATAAATCAAATACTGGAAAATTCGAACACAAACAGAACGGTTCTCGGCGGGGTACCCATTTTATTGACTATTTGACAACGAGAGACAAAACTATTTTGCATTTCAAGCACTTTATGTATGATGAATGGGAAAAATTAGTTATAATAGTTGTACCAGTAGAAAAGTCTAATGAATAAACACAGATGTCAGATACTGACAGTTGAAAAAAAAATATTTTGAATAATTACAATTTCAATTCATGGTATAAGTATGTTTGTTGTAATATTCAGTAATTAGTGCTGAGATCTCTTTACTGTGACAAAATTTTGATACAGCTTTTAACTGAACGCTTGAATCGGTTTCCTAAGGTCCTCTAGTAACCCCATGTTAATCTACATGACTACATGAACACGAGTGAAAAGGCGCGAAATGTGGAAGGAACGCTTTACTCCAAGGTTGGTCTATATACAGAAAGTCGAGGGTATTTATAGCATTTCAGATAGCCTTGGGCTACTGGAATGTTCTTGAACCCTAGTAAACATGGTGGCAGGACAGGTCTTCAGCCAATCACAAACGTGACACATCACTCTTCACTTCCTAGAAGTTTCTGGGACACTTCTGTTCACTGCTGATTGGATAGAATTTTTTCCAGCGTTTTCATGACTACTCTAGGCATTTTTGAGGAATACTGTGGATCACCCCGACAAATTTATCTTACTGAATAGGGCTGCTATTAATATTATCATTATTACTATTATTACTACTACTACCATTATTATTATTATTGCTATTACTACTATCATTATTATTATTATTATTACTATTATTATTATTATTACTACCATTACTGCCATTATTATTATTATTACTATTACTATTATTATTACTATTACTATTGTTATTATTATTATAAGCTTACTTCCGGTGATATACTGATTTTCCGATTTTCTGCACCTCGTTTTGTTTTGCTTTTCTTTTCTTTTTGTTTTTTACCAGTATTACTTTTTAATTGCCTTGATGTACTTGGTCTACGTGATAATCTTCGATTTACTGAGATATGAATAAATGGGAATACTTCATAGTACAGTATGATGAATAGAACAGAATGAACAAAACTAAATAAAGAAATCATCATGTTTATTCTGTTGTCAGTTTCTATGAAACTAGTTCATCAAAAGTAATGAATGATTTTAGGGTTTGTGTTACTTGAATTATATATCTAGTGTTGAGCAAATGTTTTAGTATCATTAACCCTATCGGTCATAAACAACTTAGAACCGGGCACCTTTCTACACTGGTTCACAATATCACACTAGACCAGGTTATCGAGACAAATCTCACAGTAATAGTGATTGGGTATATGCAATCTGATTCGAGGAGGAATTAATTTGTGCAATAGAAAAGTATCATATAATTTTAAAATCCAAGATCTAGAAGAAGTCCAAAAAGAATGAATGCACGTATTGTATTGAGATTGATACTGACCCACTACACCCATAATCTACAACCATTGGTTATGATAATGATGAGGAATACAATCAAGTAGTCTGAAATTATCAACACGACAAAATTAAATAGGCAATGATTCTACGAATTAATAGTATGCTTAGGTTTGACCAATCTTATCTTTCTTACAACTTACCCATAATTCAGGAAATGTCAAACATGATGGTAAGTGGTGATCGATCATAAATAAAAAAATTCCCAAAAAGCCTTAGTTTATGTAGATTTTGTCGCATCAACCCATTTTCATTCTTTACTCAGAATTCTGGGTCTAACCTCAGTATTGTTCACATGATAGTTCAAACATACGCGAGTAGTATATTGAAGACATATATAGTTGTATATTAGTAACCCACGAGTGTCTTCTGTTTTTAAAAACTACGTTTCACAGCGATAAGATTAAACAGAATGAACTACCTCTCAGTATGCTCATCTATGTACACACGATTAGGTAAGGACTGGTATTCATTCCATAAAAGAAAACATGAAAGTAAAAACTTACGTTTAATAGTTAAATCTGGCTTAATGGTTTTTATTTTGTTGTCAACAGAATCTACCTGTGGTTCATCTTTTTCTAACATTAAAATCAGCGTACAATGAATAAGAGCTTCGAAAAAGTCAAAAAACGTAAGCTGGAACAATGAAAAAGAAAACATTTATAATGATATATAAAATTTATTTAAATAAACGTTGAAACAAAAGTAAAAACAACAGACTTTTATTTCAAGAGATTCATCATCAGACAACCATTATAGATTGTGGATAGCTAGATGGCATTCATTTTATTTTCTTGAAATGAAACACGGTTTGAACTTGCAAAAGCTTTTATCTAGTCAAGGAAACCCACTGAGCATTGGTCAGTATTATGTGAGAACATTTATTTTAATGGTACATATCCTTCTATTCATGCGTTCATTCTTGATCTTGTTACTTAATACTTCTCTCTTTCTCTCTCTCTGTATATATATATATATATATATATATATATATATTCCATTTGTTATTATCAGCTATTCATCTTTTTTAAAAGTTTCAACAGTTTAGTTGCAACAACTGCCTACTTCATCCATCATATTATGGTGTATATGGTTTCCAATCTAATCTCTCCTCAATTCTTCAAAGTTTGTCAGAGGAGGAAAATACGCAGAAAATATTACAGTGCTTTTATTCGATTTCCCCAGTATTTAATATCACTACGCGTTATAAGTGTCTTACAAAGAGACACAAGTACATATGGCTAAGATTCATGATTATCTAATTAAAACAAATAGTTATAAAATTTGTATTGACTGATGTTAATGGCAATATGTAGTCACATTAGGAACTGATGTGCTTGAATGCTATTACGAGTTCACCTTACTCAGTAAACGCAACGAAGGTCAAAGATACAGCGACATGATAGGCTATTCTAATCCGTTGTCCCCGGCCCTGCTTACGGGATCAAGGAGTCTTGATGAGGCGTAGATAATGTATTCTACATGCACCCAGATAATACGAGGTCACTAAGCACATAAATCAAGCATATTTATACAATGAAAGAAACGCCCTTGGGAGAGCCACAAAATAGTGTACTAAAAAAATTCGTCAACCAATGACAGTTAAGGATTTCCGAGTGGGAAATTTAACCTGTAGATCAACTAATCATCTCTTGGCGCGAAAACATAAAATTCAACTTTTCAGAATAAAATTACAAAATTAGGACTTTTTATAGGTGAGTTCTGGGGATCTAACGTCTTCAACAGAAATCAACTTTCATTTGTTAAAATGGTAGGTTTTTAATTTTTAAACCAAATCACTTAAAAGTTATTCAGATATTTACATTTTATAATCAACAAAAAACATGGCATAACATACATCTCAAAGTATATCGAATATTATTTACTCAATAATGATTTTCGATAAAAAGGATAGCAGTGAAGATTCATCAGTTATTTTATAGGCTTTATTTTTATTCTTATATTTCATTACTTATTTGTTATTGAATAAATCATACTATATTCGTCAAGCTTTTGTTGTTATATACAAATGATAGTTTCAATTTGCTTATAATAATATGTTATGTCAATTAGCCCATAGTGCCATTTTCTGAAACCCAATTCGATTAAAATGTACGGATTGATTAGATGTTCATTTTTCTCAATACTTTATTCTTAATGAAAACAATCTACGATCAATGCGTAACGAATAATGACTTTGTTCAATAGACAATTACAAAATATCTTCGTAAAATACGAAAATCATACATTCAATACTTCATTTGCACATTTTGCTTATCAATTATCTCTCATAAACTTTATCGTCCCTTCATTCCTGTTGTTATTAAAATTAGTCTCTGTTTATATTACTTTTCTCTTTAATTTGATCTTCTCAACCTCTTATTGCCAGGTATTCCATTTTTGATTGGTGTTATATAATACTTATGTTTGTCGACGTAAGTAGCATACACCACATCTGTATTGTAACAATTGATTTTAAAGTTTATAGATGTTTAATAAAAAAATAACCTAATAGCCAGGGATATTTTGAAAATATTTTAGAAGTCATTCAATTTTCTATTGAACCTATTTGTACATTAGTTATATGATTATATTGAAACTTTTACACAAATTTGGATTATAGGCAAGCAACACTTAAACATATACACATCTTATTTCCAAAATTATTGAATAGTTTATTCATCGCGGCATAGAACAAAGTTCATCTACTGAAGTATGGTCAGATTAGTTGAATTTTTGTGTGTTGGTGAATGTTTATTTCAGTAAATTTACACAGTGTCATCCAATCGATGTTGAACATAATTAGTGGATGGATATCATATGAAAATTCTCAGTTATATTGTGTAATTAAATGGAAGTTATTTCGTCTATGAAAGAGTACTTTTGACTAAATTATATTCTTATATACATTTTTTTGATGAATTTCTTTGTGACGTAAATTTAACTTACCTCTGCATCAGAATTATATTCTTCTATTGTTCCGACTACTGGATTACATTTACACACTGATTCAAGAACATCTTTAACTGTAAGCTTTCGATTTAATAAATTGAAATCCTAGAAAATAGCGATTATAAAACATTGGGGATATCGAAATATAAAACTCTATTATTTCAAGAAAAAAAAGATTCGTTATCTATTTCAATTTTCAAGTAAAGAATAACCAGTTTTATGTTAGCTAATGATTTAGTATTGACAAAAGACTCCTAGTGATCACTTCCAATATTTATCCATTAATTTTTTAATTTAATAAGTCAGTCAGTCAGCTACAACGTAGGACCAGGCACATATGTGCATCGGTCCAGGTTGCCATACCGCATTAACACAGCAAGATGGACACCGGATTCATAGCAGTGGTTAGGTCAAAGGTGGTAATATACAGGAGAAAGATTGCATATAAGGATACAGTACAGGAAGAAAGAATTATTTAGTAGAAAGAAAGATGTGAAGTGATTTTAATCTCTTAGTTTAAGGGAAGACAGGGAGTGTATACACCGACGCCATTGTGATCGATTCTGAGCCATGTCACCAAGAGTCTCCAACCATTGGTTACGACAGTCACGCGGACCCCAACCAAGTAGTCTGCATCTACCAACATGGCTCAGACTACAAGTTAGTGACTTCAAGCACTGATGCCACGTTTTGGTTTGGCCGCCCCTAACTTTCTTCCAACCATCTCCAACACCGGTTAGCATTGCACGTCGTGGTAATCGGTGTTCAGGCATACGTAACACGTGGCCCAACCATCTCAGTCGATGAAGATTCATAAACCATCATTCCCTAATACCCTGCGTCTAACCTCACTATTACTTACCCGGTGATCCCAGCAGACGCCAGCAATATTTCTAAGGCATCTGTGGTCAAATACTAGTAGCTTACGAGTGTCTTCTACTCTTAATGGCCATGTTTCGCTGCCGTAAAGTAAAACAGAACGGACTGCCGCGCAGTATACTCGTCCTTTTATTGATAGACGGATATCTCGCCTTCGCCAAGGTGACGTAAGTTGGCAAAAGCCAAGCGAGCTTTTCGAATCCGTGCTGAGATTTCGTCAGACATCAACCCATTAGGGCTGATCAGACTTCCAAGATAAGTGAAGTTGTCAACGCGTTCGACTACTTCACTCCCTATCCTTAGTTCAGGTGTTAACGCAGACCAGTCCTGAAGCAACAACTTGCATTTAGAGGGAGAGAAGCGCATTCCAAACATTCTGGCATTGTTGCTCAGTGCTACCAGAAGACTCTGCATTTTGTCAGCGTCTTCACCAAACAGGACTATGTCATCTGCGTATTCTAAGTCGATAAGTGGACCTCCTGGATGGAGATCAATACCCGAGAACTCAGTCGACGAGAAAGTTATTTCCATCAGTAGATCTATGATGAAGTTAAACAAAAATGGGGAAAGTGGACATCCTTGACGGACACCACTTGAGGTTGCAAAGGTAGATGACAGTTCGCCATAAGCTCTGACTCGACTAGTAGTGTTCGAGTAAAGAGCCTTCACAAGGTTTATGTACTTCTGGGGTACGCCTTTCAATGACAGACACTGCCACAGAATCTCGCGGTCTACCGAGTCAAATGCTGCTTTTAAGTCGAGAAAGACCACCATTGTCGGACGCCGATAAGTATGCCTGTGTTCTAGAATCTGACGAATGGTGAATATGTGGTCGATGCAGCCACGACCAGGTCTGAAGCCAGCTTGGTTCTCTCGTGTTTGCAGTTCACGAGTCTTAGTTAGGCGTCTGATAATTATCGAGGCTAGTATTTTAGATATTATATTAGTTAAACTAATCCCTCTGTGGTTGTCACAGGATGATTTTGACCCTTTCTTATATATTGGGACGATAAGTGATTGTGACCAGTTAGATGGGATAACGTCTAACTCCCAGATTTTAGCTAAAATATTAGTCAACCTAATCGCTAAAATTGGACCACCATCCTTAAAGACCTATGGAGCCAATCCATCTGGACCAGCTGCCCTTCCTCGTTTCAGATTAACTATAGCCTTTTGAACTTCAGCTAGAGTTGGGGGACCTACTTCAATGTTCCATTCACGCTGTCTGGGAATGGAGGGTAGTTGTAGAGTAGCTGAAGGCCAGTTGAACTGTTCTCTGAAATGTTCCGCCCATCGTTCTAAACGTCTGGACTGGGAGCAGATGAGAGTATCGCCTTTTTCCGATATAATCTCACTTACACCTGACTTATTAGTTCCAGTTTCTTTTATTAGTCTGTTAAGCTGTCTAATTTCATAAGTTATCAAGTGATATACTTTCGTAATCAAATAGAATACTAGGGGTTAGGAAGTAAACAACAGAACTTTGATTGTTTTGCAATACAACTGAATAAACATACTTGATCCAGTTCTACAAGAGACTAGTTGGAAGGCTGAATTATTGAGTAGATAATTTTTTGTGTATGACAGTGAATGATATTCTTATTGAACGACTTTGCTCATGAATTAAATACTATCATTATAAAAAAGCTATAATTATTCAGTTTATGATAATTTAATATGATTATGTAGGAAAAAGATGTTTCAATCAAACTATGATCATCATCTTTCAGTGTGTTGTGTGATATAAAGAAGTACTTTAACACTATTAATGACTTCAAATGAATAACCTTGAAGGTCATATAAAAGTTATTCATATTACATACGATATTTTTTATTGTAATCAACTGTGTAAATGATTAGATAATAATTAATAGAGATTGATAGGTCCTTAGTTCGAACCCCGCGAGGCGGAGTCGTGGATGCCTACTGCTGAGGTATCTCACATTAGAACGAAACGGCCGTTCAGTGCTTCCAGGTTTTTCATGGTGGTTTAGCTTCGATTGGCTCATAATCTCAACTACTGAAATTACTACAATCTTCACAAAACCCCCTTCTGATTCTAAATAATAGGGAATTTATGACATTGTGATGTTATAGTTATCGATAAATAAATAATAAGGATTATTCTTGTCTGAGTTACTGAAAGTAATAATAAATTACCTTGAGAATAAAAGGAAATTACGCACAGTCATAGTGTATGGTGGTGGATGTATTGACTTCTGAAACTTAACATTATGAGAAAAGAAAAACCAGAATAAGTGTGTAACTTAGCATAAATATATTTCGAAAATTAAATATAGCTTATATTCCGATCAAAAGTTGGGAATTACAGTTTTATGCGATAAAAGCTACAGATTAAACAAGTATCCATAAAGCATATCTTTGTAATAATTATGTGCGCGCCTATAAATAGTTAAAAGATGTAATCCAGATGTTAATTTGATAAGTCATGATTAATAGTGAGATATATATCACATAAACTATGTAATCATGATCTTGGTTCGGTGTGGAGTTACTGATGATGAAAATGTGTGCCAATGAATTCTTACTTTCTAGTTTACGGTTATTATGCCGGTCGTGAAATTTGAAAGAATTCGATTCGATTCAATGCCAGGTTTATGCGTACATATCGACTTGGAGTCCCAAACTAAGATGAAAAATTTGTCCAGTGTTTCCTGAATATCAGTTTCCTACCGAACGATGTCAGTCAATGATGTGGGCTAAATTCCACTGAACAATCTTCATAGAACAAGTTAAATAAGGTTGGTTCATCATTTTTACTGGTGCTTTGTGGACGTAATTTTAACTTACATTATATCAATCTAATCTTGATAATACTCAAGGAATTCTTCTTGAGTTACCGTTGAATTCTAAGTGATATTCAATAGTTTATTTCAAATCCATTCATTAATTAATTGTTATTACTTAATTCGGCAAATGATTGTTGTAATATAAATTATATTTTTGATGTAAAGTGATTAGTGGTAGTTTAAAAGAAACCATCCCAGATATTGTACATCAAAATATAGTTCATCTAATATTGAATTACTTAGACTAGTTGTCACATTTATACTTAATCCATTAATTCATATAGATAACTTATATTATTCTTTTCAGTTCATTGAAAAGTCATTCTTGTATATAAGTGAATGAGACAAAATCCAACTCGAAACATGATTTACTAAGTACAAATTTATCTTTTCCAATAATAATTCTAAACATATTTTCCTTACTTTTCTTTTAATTCGTACTAAAAACTTATAGGCTTGATAAAGTGGTTGTAGAAATACATGAATTTCTTTAGATTTTTCATTATCTTGATAAATAACACCAGAAAGTTTACATGCATTTGAAATAATTGCTTGTGTTAGTAAACAAAGTAATGCATCACTTGGCTTGCTAAAAAATAATAAATAAAATGATCATAAAACAAATCAAGATTGTTGATGAAATGAAATATAAACAGTTGAGATCATGAGTCAATTGAAGCTAGATCACTATGGAATACTTAGAACCACTAGACGTCCGTTTCGTCTTATTGTAGGACTCCTCAGCAGTGTGCATTCATGACCCCGCCTCGCGAGATTCGAACCCAGGACCAATCAGTCTGGCGCCAGGCCCTTAACCAACTAGACCAGTGAGCTGGCATCTAACGGTGTTAATGTCTAACTTCAACTAATCCACGAAATTCAGCGACACATCCACCATTGTCATCAGTGAACTACTACCACACAACTGACCTGGTTGAACTCCACTGGTCACTGCTTCTCACTAGAACTCCAGGATATATATCTTGAAGCCAGTCACTAGTGAGCGTATGCTGATTAGTATCAGAAGGGGTTTTGTGGAGGGTAAGCGCCTGGAACGAGACTGGTAGGCCTGGGTTCGAATCCCGCGAGGCGGAGTCGTGGATGCGCACTGCTGAGGTGTCTCACGATAGGACGAAACGGCCATCCAGTGCTTCCAGGTTTTCCATGGTGGTCTAGCTTCAATTGGCTCATGATCTCAACTATTGAAATTACTACAATCTCCACAAAACCCCTTCTGAAATGAAATATTTTGAGTTAATTACTTAATTTAGAATTTAAAGGAAAGCACTTTTTAATCCTTTGAATTTCTGAGGTTAGTTTTTATCAAGAATCAACAAATGAAAAGAAGGGAGGATTAAAAAGATATTTTGTTTTAGTATTGTACGTTTCTCGTCAGTGTCTTACCATATCTACATGAGGTATCGAAATCATGACCTTTAGGTCTCAGTGAAAATGTTTTTAGACCACTGAATCATAGTTAAATGGTGCTTATATATATATGGGCCAAATTGTTGTTTGTATTCGTGAAATATGAAAACCATACATTAAATACTTCATTTGCACATCGTCCATCAGCTGCCTCTTACAAAATAAATCGTTCCTTAATTTCTGTTGCTATTACTGATACTCCTTGCTTACATTCCCGTCTTTTTCAATTCGATCTTCTCAATCTTCTGCTGCCAGGTATTTCACTCCTGATAGGTGTTACATGCTACTTATATCTGTTAGCATAAGTAGTATGCACAATTCAACTACTTCTAACTTCTCCGTTTATCGTTAACGCAATAGTGTTGATATAATTCGAAGTCGAATTCAATTCAACTTGAAACCATAGCTTATACTGGTTATTTAGTCACAACTCCTTTATTCTATCAATGACTTCTTAATTTAGATTCCAACTTCTTTATTTGATAGATTTTATTGCTCTATATCTTACTGATGAAATGTGTTTCTTGGTTCCCACTATTAACTACTATTCGAAATAATATATCCGTTATGTCTGTCACTGTTAAGTTTGCTGAATGCTTAACTGTTTTGTGTTTTGTACTGGGACCCCGAATCCTAAAAATCCTTAAAATAAATCAAAATGATGTATGATCACGCTACTTTTTATATGATATATTTACAGTCAGGTTTGTATAGATTGAACTGCTTAGTATTTAACATCAATTAACGAATAACTTACTGTGTGAACACATATTGACCATATCATACGACTAAGCATCTGTCATTAACAAATATAACTAACTGATAAGGTACATTATTACTCTTTCTGAGAATGTAACTACGTGTCACAGACAGTTGAAAAAAACCCGTTTCATATGTTGTTTGCACTCCGATAGATATAGTCATTGCTCACCACATTGCTTCTACCATGAAATGATATGGGGTCTTCTTTTGCTAATATTTGTGAAACAATGATGCCATTGACTCATCAAATATATACCCCTGCTTCCATGGCAATCATTTTTATGTTTTATCTGAAAAGTGTCACTCGACTATTAACATTATATTTCAGATATTTCTTTGTCATCGTCTCATTGCCAAGTAAAGGCCAATTTCGATAAAGTAATGAGAAGAGGGAGTTTATCAGAATTATGTGATATATGAATTTTAATGGTCAAATAAGATCACAGGATAGACAGATATCATCATCCATTTCGAAACATTTGATTGAGACTGATCATTGGGTTGACATCAAGTCAGCATTTGTAGTGTTGTACAAAAGACTTCAAAGACGTATACTAAGGTTTAATGAAGCCTTGGCCATACGGAAACTGAAACCCCTTTTATGTGTTCAAAGAAATTTGTTCTTACACTTAACCTACCCTAGTAATACTGATTTATTATCCAAAGTGGTAATCGCATTTTTTGTGTACTATATTTTTCTTTGTTACCAATTACCTTTAATCTGTCTAGTTGGTCTTTTATTTTTCATACAAAAATGTCTTAACAAGTATATGTATGATCAGATTGTTCGAAATGTATTGCGCATATATATAACATAATTCTGATAAACTTCGTCTAATCATTGCATTATCGAAACTTATCAAAGGGACTAATTAGGCAAAGATGGATGGTGGCTAGCAGTGGAATCCAGAACGTGCGTTTCGTCCTATTTGGGACTTTTTAGCTGGATTTGCCTGCAACCCAGACTTGAAATTCACTTCGGGACACGAACCCAGTACCGTTCGCTCTAAACGCCATCGCGTCCTCCACTTAGCTACTGAGTCCTAATATCAAAGGATGAAAATGAATTTGAATTATGTACAATATTAATATATATAGACAATATTATTTGCTAGACAACTAATACTTACCTCTTAGTTATTTTTTCATGCACATAAGATTCTTCTTGAGTATATAAGTTACAAGCTAATATCACAAGAATATTTACAAATGTACCAAAAGAGATTAATTTTTCAGGATTTTGAACACAACTATCATCACCATCTTCAGATCCATATGATACGGCTTGTAATTTAAAGAGAAAAATAAACCCATTTAAGTAATCATCAATATTAAGTTCGTGGTTTTTTACAAATAAAAGTTCTACTCATAGATAAAATTTGAAGAAACATAAAGATGTTGTACAAATCCGAAACACTCTGAAAGAACACTTTATAAACTACAATAATTAGTATTCTCAAAACGAGAGTACGCTGTTTCCTGCATGATTTTTTCTTTAAGTAACCATTTACAGTATTTGTTTTTTATTCAATTGCATTTTAATAGTTTTATGTACACAGTTCTCAATAAAAAATCGCTTACTTAATAGCTTACTATGAGATTGATTTTCAAATCATTTGAATCAGTTGGTAAATGTATTCTAAGTTATCAAGATTTCCTTTATGAGAATATACTGTAACTTGGTAGACACTATTGTTAACCGCTGAATGGTGATTCAAATAGTCAAATGTTTCTTTCATGGATGATAAACATAATTAACGAAATTATTTAGTAATTTCACTAAAACCTACTAAGTTTTAAAATTGATATGGTAATGAAATACACTGGGACTCTTCATGTATCACTGTGATAATCATATTGTCCTAAACTAAAATAAGAAACGGAAAAAGTTCCCCATGATTTTCTAATAAACTTATCAAAGCAAACGAACTGACTTGACAAGTCAGATCTTGTTTAACTTTAGAGAGTGGAGCATAACTATATTAGATATCTAGTGTTCGATTTGTGTTTGTGAGGCGTAATCCAAGAAAGTTGAAGAGATGTCTCTATATCACCATTGTGTTCTGAACTTCGTAACTGTGAATTACGAGTGTTATGAGTAAATATGGAGTTTAGTTAAAGTTGGTAATATTAAGGTTTGAATTTAAGAGTCTCGATCAAGCCTATTTTTATTCTGTAAACTACTGTAAATTTCAAATGATTGAAAATTATTTTTATTTTTAAAAATTTTTCTTTCTCTAATTATGGAAGGTCTTATTGAATGAGTAACAAAAGAGTGAAAACAGATTTCATTAGCTGATTAAATTTTTAAAAGAGCAAGAACAAAGATTCTTACTCTTTTCAAAATGATAAAAGGAACTATGTGTATGAGATTAAATTTCTCATTTGATATAAAATATCAGCTATGGGTAAATGCATTTATCACTCTTTGCTGTGATGAGTGACTTTTCAACAACTACCGACGAGTCCGTATTAGTTGGTCATCGATCGATCCTGTAAAAACCACTGTGTTCGGTTATACGAATAGCCAATCAGAAATTACCGGATGGTGAGTGCACGTGACTGGCTAAAGAATCTTCAAAGTAACAATAGGCTTAATTTCTTAAGGGATATATATATATATATATAGATGTTCACGTACTTACTAGGGTTAAATGAAATTTGTAAATTAGTGTCATAACTTGGGACAAGAATTTACAGTTGAACTGTAGGGTTAGAAATAAGAGTCAGGGTTTTCATCACGAACTGACATCAGCTATAATGCTGAAATTCTATTTAGCTTTATAGATGAATGAATTTTGTCCCAAAATTCAATACCTGCTATTTTGGATCTGATTGGTTTGTCCATAAATTATAGTCTGTCCCTGTGCAAACTATTTACTGTTCATTTTGCCTTTAGGTTGGTTTGCATTTCTCATAGACAGGATAATTCGAAGTTTAAATTTAAATTTACAGAATTATTGTAGTAAAAATACCTACCAATTATTCTATCTAAGGCAGCTAAACTTGTATGTTGATGCAGTTTGCAATCTTTTAAAAATTGACAGAACTGAACATAACGTAGTATAATTGTATTATCTGGTAACTGTTTCATACCAAGTTTACCATAAAATCTATAAATACTGCGTAATGGAGTCAAATAAGCAGTTATTACATTTTGCATCTAAACAAATCAAATAAAGATGAAGTTTTAAGGGAAAAACCAATTTGAAAAGATGAAAACATTAATTTAAATGCTTTAAGAATGAGTCCATAACTAGTAAATATTAAATTATTGAGTGTAGTGGATACTTGTAAAAGTGTGTAGCGGAACGTGGCTTCGGAGTTGCAACAGATTTCAGATACATTAAAGAGTTTCAGTGCATCGAAAGCACAGATTTGGCAGAACACTTAGAGACCAGACGAGAAGATAGTTCAAATAGCAGAATACACCGAAAGATAAAAATGGACGATTGAACGCTAGGTATGTGTATTATGTAAGTACTTTGTAACTTATCAACTAAAAATCATTATCTGCCAGCGCTATACAACTTTAACTCCGCTTGGAGCCCCTCCGAGTTCACTGCCAATCCCAAGTCCGGATTAAGGGGGAGGGTCGGGTATGGGGTTAGTGGCTCCATCCCGTAAAAAAATAACTCGCTAAAAAAACGCTAACCAGAAGAAACTGTTCATTTAAACTCTGACCTGAGAGTCAGAAGGTCTTCATTTAGAAGAGTTATGACGCCTCGTCCAAACAAGCACAAAATGCACTTATAGGATGGGAATCTCATGGACCAAGGATTATCGAAGCCTCCTTCAAAACGAAGAAAGAGGGTATTTCAGTGAACATCATCCAATGCTATGCGCCTACCAACGACTACAATGAGAACGTTAAAAATCAATTCTACAATAGGCTGCAATCAATCGTCGAGAAGTGCCCAACAAAGGACCTAATTATTCCGATGGGAGACTTAAATGCCAAGGTCGGAATGGACCACACTGGATATGAAGACACCTTGGGACGACACGGACTGGGAGAAAGGAACGAAAATGGTGAGAGATTTGCAAATCTATGTGCCTTCAATAAACTGGTCATAGGCGGGACCATATTCCCACATAAACGCATACACAAAACCACATGGACTTCACCGGACCACACCACGCAAAACCGAATCGACCATATTTACATCAACAAAACGTTCAGGAGGACTATAGAGGACGTGAGAACCAAGAGAGGAGCTGATATAGCATCAAACCATCACTTGCTGGTCGCCAAGATGAAATTGAAACTTCAGAAGCACTGGAAAACGGAGTGGACAACATCACAAAAGTTTAATACGGCTTTTCTTCAGGATACTGACAAACTCAACAAATTCAAGATAGTCCTCAGCAACAAGTTCCAGGCCTTCCATGATCTACTCAGTGAAGAAGGATCTACTATGGAGATCAACTGGAAGGGGATCAAAGAGGCAGTCACCTCAACATGCTATGAGGTTCATGGCCACAAGAAGCGCCATCACAAGGGATGGATCACTGTTGATACACCGGATAAGATTCAAGAAAGGAGAAACAAGAAAGCAGCAATCAATACCAGCCGAACAAGGACAGAGAAAGCCAAGGCATAAACTGAATACACAGAAGTAAACAAACAAGTGAAGAGGAGCATCAGAACCGACAAACGCAAATATGTGGAAGATCTAGCAACGACTGTGGAAAAGGCTGCAAGAGAAGGAAACATGAGATAACTGTATGACATAACAAAGAAACTCTCTGGAAATCGCCGCAAACCAGAACGACCAGTGAAAAACAAAGAAGGCGAGGTAATCACCAACATTGAAGATTAACGAAACAGGTGGGTAGAACACTTCAAAGAACTCTTGAATCGACCAGCTCCACTGAACCCACCCAACATCGAAGCAGCACCCACGGACCTCCCAATCAATGTTGGCCCACCAACAATTGGAGAAATCAGCATGGCCATCAGACAAATCAAGAGTGGCAAAGCAGCAGGACCAGACAACATTCCAGCAGAGGCACTAAAAGCAGACGTAGCAGTAACTGCAAGGATACTCCACATCCTCTTCAATAAGGTTTGGGGTGAGGAACAAATACCAACAGACTGGAAAGAAGGACTCCTGATCAAAATAGCGAAGAAGGGCGATCCCAGCAACTGTGATAACTACAATGGGATAACTCTTTTTTCAATTCCAGGAAAAGTCTTCAACAGGGTATTGTTGAACATGATGAAGGACTCCGTAAACGACCAACTTCGTGACCAACAGGCAGGATTTCGTAAGGATAGATCGTGTACAGACCAAATCGCAACTCTACGGATCATTGTGGAAAAATCAATTGAATGGAATTCATCACTCTACATCAACTTCATTGACTACGAAAAGGCATTTGATAGCGTGGACAGAACAACACTATGGAAACTTCTTCGACACTACGGCGTGCCTCAGAAGATAGTCAATATCATACAGAATTCATATGATGGATTAAACTGCAAAGTCGTGCATGAAGGACAGTTGACAAAGTCGTTCGAAGTGAAGACCGGTGTCAGGCAAGGTTGCTTACTCTCACTCTTTCTCTTTCTCCTGGCGATCGAATGGATCATGAAGACGTCAACATCTGGAGGAAAGCACTGGACGATCTAGACTTCGCAGATGATCTGGCTCTTCTGTCGCAGACGCTACAACAAATGCAGGAGAAGACGACCAAGGTATCATCCAAAAGATACAAGTGTTTATTAATAGTTGTCTACGCAAAATACTTTGGATCCGTTGGCCGGACACTATTAGCAACAACGTACTGTTGGAGAGAACAAACTAGATTCCAGTAGATGAATAAATCATCAAGAAGCGCTGGAAGTGGATAGGACATACATTGAGGGAAGCACCTAACTGTGTCACAAGGCAAGCCCTCACATGGAATCCTCAGGGCCAATGGAGGAGGAGACGAAGACCAAAGAACACATTACGCCGAGAAATGGAGACAGACATGAGAAGAATGAACAAAAACTGGACCGAACTAGAAAGGAAGGACTAGGACAGAGTGGGCTGGAGAATGTTGGCCGGCGGCCTGTGCTCTATTGGGAGTAACAGACGTAAGTAAGTAAAATAAAGCTACATAATTTTGTGATTTAAAATTACGATTGCTTAAGTCATTAAATCATACAAGATACCATTTATCTAATTTTATTGTAAATATTTTAGTTATTGACTAATTAGTTAGAACTAATTCTCACCATGAATTGATACCCGTCAAAACCATAGGTTCAGGATTTTGTAACAGTTTATATCTGTGACGCTATATGAAATTAAATCAAAAACTGAAGTTTCTGGATGAAGATGATACGTCTAAGCTATTGTGGTTGAAAATGTTATGAGTTCATTTCTGACTCATTGGATAAAAGTATTGTATTTATTACAAGATCCGCATATCTTTAATACCATACTATGTGAGGTGGTAATTACGGCTTTTTAATAAGTCCAAACTTAGAATGAAATAGTTTTTCAAGTAGTAGCTTTCGAATGGAATAAATAATCACACATCGATTGTAAATAGGTTCAAAGAATAATTTTACATAAACCTATCCATTGAATAATGCGATGTAATCAAGTATTTTTTTATTTGTGTGATGAGAGAAACTTTATCGTCATCTTTTCCTGGATCCATTAATACAGAAACTTTGTACATAACAAATTAGTGGAAATTGTAACACACATGTTTGATTCGTGATAAATCAAAGTAATTTATTTAAATTATAGATAAAGAACAAAGAATAAAATTGGAGAAAAACCTACATTCTGTAATTCTGAATGAGTGTAATCTGACGGTGATATATGAGGTTTCAGATAATTTTCCAACAAATTACTGTCTGATGTATCTTTGAGTACACTATTTTTCTCAGTGGGATCGGATAAACATTCTGAAAGAAACATGAAAATATGGTTACAAAATCGTTTTGATAAAACACCCGATATTTAGTTGCTACTTTACTATGTTGATAGTTTTATCATGGAAAGTGTAAATAGGCAACAGGATATCACAAAGTTCTGCTCTATAAAGAAGGTAAATATAATTAAATGTGTACTTATTTCTACAACTTGGTGGGTAAATTAAAAAAATAAACACTGATCAATAGAATAAGGGTTTCTGTGACTTCAAAGAGTAAGCATAGATAAAATTTATGACAACTGGAATATCGGGAAGAAAGATGATACAATGATCTATTTGTTGTAAAATATAAAATTACAGTTTAGATATGTAGGTAACTCAGAAAAATACTCATCAGCACTAAGCGAAACAATCAAAAGCACTTGAACTGAGGTTCAGTATGGCTATCGCCTATAGTTTTAATATGGATAGTAATTTATACTGTTCAGCTAGAATGTGAATGCTTAAGTCATCCGGAAGGGTTGCGTTTAAGTTTGAACTTTGAACAATCGGAGGGCCATAATTTTGATTTTTCCTACCTGTAAAGCGTTTCTTGAATGTTTATAACTATTCATATGGAAATTGTTAAGCACTGACTGCAGTTCTCGCGTACAGCGTTGAAGATTCCGGATAACTTCACAAAGTTATCTCAATTATTTATAAGTTCTCATTACAGTTTAATTATAATCTATTTTTTTAGAAAGCACGAAAGTATATCAACACATCTCCTTTAATAGAAAGTTTCACGAGTTGTCAGCCTATTTAGTTCAACATATACACAAAAACTCATCTGATATCATTAAACCTATTCAGAACCATTATTTATAGATATCCATGTTGAATGAATGTTACTTAACACTTGAGAGGTATCAGTGTCTTTTCATACATTGAGGTGTGCCTCGACCAGTTGCCAATCCAAGGGAAAACATGGTTATTATTATTATTATCTGCTTTATTCAATATTATATTTTTGGTACAATATAGAATTCTCAGCGCAAAGTATTTCAACAAGTTTCCGTTTCTTTCTTCTTGGTCGGTCCTGGCGACAAATATTGAGTGATCGCCAGTTAGATGTTAGCACTTCAGTGAATGAACATCTGAATAATGTGCATTCTTTTCGTTGTATATTGCCAGCAACCATATTGTCTCTTATTGAGTTTTTTGTAACTTTGACAACGAAAGGTTGTACACTTTTCAGAAACGCAGCAGGATAGGTTATGCGATTAATAAACATAATGATATATTAAACCAAACAAAAATCTATAACTTGTTGAAATATCTAGATGGCAGGAACAGGTAACCCAGATGCTCAAGCAGGCCGCCCTTTAATGACTGATGTTTGTTTATTTATCATATACTGACTGTACAGACTAATGATGTTGTATAGTGTGATAATTCGGTTCAAATGTTTTTGATAGAGATTTAATGTTTTGGATAAAAAGAATTAATACAGTCTGTTATTATCTATTAGTTTAATAAAAATTAGCCTAGATTTTTTGCTTCATCATTACGCACATAGAATTTCACCTATTCGAAAAATGCCAAACTGTTGTTATTCTCTATACTACTACTTACTAGTAGCTCAAAAATCTGTAGTAAAAAACGTTGGCGTATATTATTTTATTATTTGATAACATGCAAAACTTACCTGTGACAAGTGGTATACGTGTATCTAATCTCTCTAAAGTTAGCTGATCAATACTTGAGGGTAATGAGTCGGAGTTTTCATCGATTAAACGATCTTCATAAAATGTTCTTTCGAATATTCGTCCATCTTTAAGTATCAATGTACCCTTTAGAAGACGGTAAATAGGAAGAAAACAAACTTACAGAATTAATATATATCCAAAAATGTTTATAATTGATATTTAAACTGTAAGCAACTCCCAAACATCAATATCCTTTTATTTCTGATGACCATACTGGAAATAGGTTAGTTGCAGTACGTTTTTAATTATTCCAATTTCATAAAGAAAATTACTTGTTGACAAAAATTTACTTAATTCAGTTCCACTTACGGATGTATCGTTTGTAATGTAACATATGACTTAGCATATTAGAGTATTAATTTAATTGGTTAAAACTCCTGAGCAACATAGGGAGTAAAATAAATCAAACAGGCGGCTAACAAAAATGTAGGCAGAATACTGAATTAGGATAAAACAGAGGTTTTGCAAACAATCATTTGTGGAAACATATAGGGTACGGTGACGGATCAGTAGTTCAATGTCTATAAATCTGATTGCTTCGAGAGTTGAGTCTCAACATAATATAAGGAGGAATTTTCGAAAAATATCGTATTGATATTAATGGTAAAATTTTTAAACCATGTCTTACTAGTAGGCAACTAATGATCTCTATTATTTTGTGAACTAAATCCGAAATGCATATGATATATTGAACCGTATTATTTTAGTTTTGAACTAATGATTTATTTATTCTAGTTGAGGGCAATACATCAGTTGAGAATTGAATTTCCTGTAAAAAAAAGTAAATGAAACTGGAGAAACTTGTCATTTGACACTTAAAATTATCATTTCTAAACTTACTTTCCCATGTTTCAGATCATCTTTCCAATAACCGACATATTTAGACCCATTAGGATAATGGAATGTTCCAAGTCCATTACGTTTACCATTTGCCCATTGACCATCGTATACATTGGGCAAAGAATATTGTGATGTTCGAACACGAAGAATATGCCACGCATGACAACCTAGTCCATTCTAAAATGTAGAGATAGTGAACGTCACTTGATATTCGGTTTGTCAACAAAATTTCAGAATATTCCGCTTAATTATCAGTTCACAATATTTAATAAGGCTTAAAGTACTAGAGTGGCATTGGATTCTTCAGTAGTTTATTTTAAAATGCTAATAAGTTTAGAGATTCGGTAAGATATTGACCTGAGGTGCTTAAATTCAAGAAGCACAGTACATTTCGTTTTGGTTTAGATTTTATGCTCTTTTATTATTCATAACTCTGTTAAAAGTGTAAATCAGAAACTCTTAGCATTTCAGTGAACTCGGTACTATGAAACCAGTTATTTGAAATCGTTAACTTCAGTTAGTCATTCATAATAATAAGGCTATTATCCGAGGCCACTGGATGACTGTTATAACTTGTGACCGGTGTGCCCTGCTAATGTATAGCTTAAAGATACCGCCAATTAGAGAGCAGTGACTTATCGATCGAACCAATGACGCATAAAATCCGTACGAGCATTCTAGAGTCCTTATGGTCCCGCTTCCTGTCTAGCCCAGCCAGTTAAGTCCAGAAAACTAATCCGAGCCTCTGTGATATGAATCATTATATACCAATCAAACAGACCACAACGTACCAATGAAATATGAAACAACATTTTTACAAGAATTAGCCAGATGTAGCTGTGAATGAGGGAGGTAGTAATTAATATACTGGGTATAACTTAAGAATGGTAAAACGTATAATAATAGTTTATGGGTCAAAATAAAGCTTATAATAAGAGGAATATGAAAATGCATAGTTTAGCTACTCAATAATTATACAATAGAAATATGCGTTTAGTATTGATCCACAAATGGATCCCAAAAGTTACCATTCATTATTCTTGTTGGAACATAACAATGACAGAACCTAACCTAAAATTAATAATAATATTAACAAAACACTTAGATAACTAACAGCTACATGTACGTTAGTGACTGTCTTTGAAACAGATTTTACGGGATTTTATTAGGAATGTATGATCTTCAAAATCAACAAAGTCAGAAATAAGGATGGCATCCATTGATAAGATTGAGTGATGACTGCATCATTTAAAAAACAGACTGGATTTGAAAGTATAGTTATCACAAGGCCTGAATTTCTCAAATGCAATGTTTTGTTTGATCACAGGTGTACACTACTTTGAATCCAAGAACTGAGACGAATAATCTGCGTGATATGATAACGTGAATCTCTGATAAAAATGATCTTCAACTACTCATCTCACTAATCTCATATACCTCTATCATTATTTGCTAATTGCATATACTGTTACGTAGAACTTTAAGCACAGAAAAATTTCTCTTTAACCTGTGAGTATCGTTACCAACAAAATGGTGGCGTAATAAAAGGTGTTGAAATGGTGGAAATTCGAAGCTCAGGTGGATGATTTAGTTGGGGTTTTGTTCTCTGAACTGGATGGTTTATTAGTGAAGCTTTCATCGTTATTCTGAACGACATCATCAGCACAAACTTCAAATAGAAGTGAAATGTTCGAATTTCTCCACATTTAAACCACATTTTGTCCTGTAGACCTCGATCTTGATCGGTCATTGTTGAGCTTCAATCTGTCATTGTTTACTTCTTTATTTTGGTGGTATCTCCCTTTGATTTGGTTCTTGGTCCTATATTTGCCCATAATTTTCCTTATTGATTGATAGATTGAATCAATCCCAATGTGCTTGTTGTGTTATGTGCGAGTTAGGAATAAATGTATGGTAACTTTCAGGAATTATTTGTAGACTGTTTTAAATATATATATTCTTATCGTATAATTACTAAGTACGTAGATCATATATATTTATATTCATTTTATCATAAGTCTTCATTTGACCCATTAACTACTGTTATACGATTTACTGTTCTCAATTTATTCACAATCTATTCGTTACAGTTTGCCACACAGCCAATTTTAGCTTAACCCTGTATGATAATTACCTTTCGTTTTAAGGTAAGATGCAGTCTGGTTTGCTTATATATAAACTGCGAATGTCTGAAGCACATGATTTATGTAGTGGAGGCTGATATTTCTGTTTTGGACTCAACGCGCTGGGTTAGGTAAGAAGCTACTATACATAGAACTAATAAAGAATCTGAGTTGACTAAAGGCTGTTTGTACTGGTTAACGAATTATTTGTTCGACACAGGGAAGAAGTCATAGAAGTCTGTATTCTGATTGATGGTTTTGTCACGTGATATTTGACGGGCCATATGACAAAATAGATTGACCAAACCATCCAGCTCAGAGAACAACACTCCACCTAAGTAGAAAGTGTCATCTATTTATATAGATAAAATACGGTTGTGCAAAAACAAAAGTTCCTCTGTTTTCTAGTGACTTTTTATTTCGAAGTTAATGTTGTAAAATTCTTTCTTTTACAAATGTTATATTATTCTAATTCACTGCTCTTTATTCCTAACACTATCTTACCTGGACAAATTAATTTTATCGTAAACAATATGTGTGATAATTATATTTGAAATAATCTCAAATATTGAAATTTAAATAATTCCAACATTTCGTCCAGAAAACTTGTTTTAACTTCTTGACGCTCAGTTTTTTATCAAACTATTGGTTTTAATTTTATAGTCGAGTTCCTTTGAGTAATTTGCTATCTAGCTTAAGATATGAAGGCAAAACTATCTAAGTCAATTTAATTTATTTAAACAGGCTTTTTCACTATAAACCTACAAAGTTTAAAAAATAGGTGTATACATTCTATAAATATTTCATATCAAAATCGTATTTTTTACTCTATCGGCAGATTAATAGCATAGTAATTTGACAACCCAATTGAATTTTCTTTAGTTCAAATAAAGAAAAATGTCTATATTTCTTATAGCTCAGAACTTCTATTTACTTGTTTTCCATCAACCCAACTTCCAGTATAAATTTCATCACGATCACTCCAGTGCATTGTTCCTTCTCCATGACGTTTACCATCTTTCCACTGACCCTCATAAGTTGCCCGGTTAGAGTAGTGATACACTCCGTAACCGTGACGTAGTCCAGAGTCCCATTCACCGTCATAGTGGATAGAACCATCAGTCGTGTAGTTTAAACGACCCTGAAATTTGAAGTTAAGCGTTTTTATGGACTATAGGGCAATAAAATATTTAGCCGGGTATTTAATTTTGCATGAAAATGTTAATTAAACGATGTATTATAGGGTTTCACATTAAGCATAACCTAGTCAGATTGTTTTTTCTATTCAGGAAAACCATTTTTGTTGTGACATCTTAAGTATAGTGGTTAATTGGCAGTGTTGAAGGTTTTATTATTGCTAGCGCAAGTGTTGGTTTGAGAGTTAGCACCTTTATAGCGGTAACATTGCATTCATACATCAATTAACTCGTAAATTCGAGAGGAAATCGGAGTAGTTATCTATGAAATTGTAAAGAATGAGAGAGTTGCTAGAGACTAAAAAGTAATTGGTTAACTTATAATCTTATTTTATATAGCCGCATCAATATGAGATTAGCTGAATTCTAAGCCAACTGAAAATTCATCGAGGTCTTCATGAAACTCTTTAATTGTTGCGCTAACAAGGTTTGAATAGCTTTGCAGAGATTCTGGTTTTCAACAAAAGCCTAAATAGAATGGTCAGTAACTTTAGTATTGAACAAATAACTATATGCTTTGACGCTTTATTTATACTAATTTGTTTTCTTTCTCACTAGTGAACTGAAATTTCGTGTAAATGAGGCATTTTACAGATATTTGATAGCAGTGATATTTACTAAGATGGTGTATATTTATTAAAGTTTGTTTGGTGTTCCGTTGTTTATCTTTTCCAAATAAAATCTCTAGTTACTTCATAAAACGTAATTATTATCCAGTTAAGGCGAGAATAAATAGTGGATTATCGGTTTTGTAACTTGGAATTTCGCCTAATAAATAAAAGTATTGCAGTCTACTCAAGATTGTTCTTTGAAATCGGATAATTCTGGACAAATTCTTTAATGTTATTATTTATATGGAAATGTGCTTACTTTTCCTTGTTTCTTTCCGTTCTTCCACTGACCATTATATTGGAGACCATTGGAGTCAGTGTATGTGCCAAATCCATGTCGGATCCCATCAACAACATCACCAATATATTCACTAGATATTTAGTAAAGCATAGTTATTTTTCTATAGAAAAACCTTTTATTCGGCCAAATAATCTTTCCACGCCCAGTAATTTTATTTTCTTTAAAGTCGCCAATATACACCAATCCTGTTTCATCCCAGTGAAATTCACCGTGACCATGTAGCATATCATTGACGATTTTTCCCTTTTTTATATGAAGGAAAATTTAGGGAATCTGTAACAATTTGGTTTCGCATTTTTACGTGAAGTATAAACATCTAGATAACAGATAAAATGGTTAATACTAATTAAGTGATCCACAGATCAAGATAGTGCTTATAAGAAGGTTTGCGAGAGTTATCTTTGGTGTCTACTTTCTCACAAGGCTTCGTGAATTTAGTCTTGCTTACGAGTTAACTGAGTAAGTTTTCTGTGAATAAACTGGAAGGTATTTATTACCGTTCATTTTAGGATGAACTACCTTAGTTTTAAGTGGATATGTTTTTAAAAACAACAGAAGAACGTTAATATTTATTTTGAAGCTCTAGTAAACAAACCGATGTATTATGAGAGTTATGACCATCGGTCAATAATTAAATAGCCTCAAGCACTCGATGTCCAGTTGCCTTGACTAGTAACCACATTACAACTTGGTTGATAGGATTTAATATACACTAAGAAAGACTTTACATACATGAAATTAGTCACTACACAGTGATCAATCAATTGTAAAGACGTCTTAAGCACAAGCAGTTGTGTAAATGTTTCTTCAATCAAATACATATGAAGATAGAAACAACATAGAATTTAACTAAACTGTGTATTAGTTTTAGTTGGTGTTAACTCAGGAAGAAAATATGCCAACTATGGAGAAGCAGAAGAGTAAAGACAGTAATAATAAAAATGTGAGATTTCTGATACAAGAAAAAACAATAGACAACGAACAAACGAAACTAAAAATTAGAACAATACCGAATAATTTAACGTCAAACACATAAAAACAAATGGAAAGTGTTTTTATGTCATTCACGCAGACCAGTTTTGGCCATATCACCTAAAAACTTTTATTATTGTTTGATGGCATGTTTTTAATTTGGTAGTAATTGCTGCAACTTCATAAAATTCTGATGTCAGTCAGTCAGTCAGTCAGCTACAACGTAGGACCAGGCACATATATGCATCGGTCCAGGTTGCCATACCGCATCAGCACAAGATGAACACCGGATTCATAGCAGTGGTTAGGTCAAAGGTGGTAATATATAAGAGAAAGATTGCATATAGAGATATAGTACAAGAAGAAAGAATTAGTTCGTAGAAAGAAAGATATGAAGCGATTTTAATCTCTTAGTTTAAGGGAAGACAGGGAGTGTATACACCGACGCCATTGTGATCGATTCTGAGCCATGTCACCAAGAGTCTCCAACCATTGGTTACGACAGTCACGCGGACCCCAACCAAGTAGTCTGCATCTACCAACATGGCTCAGACTAGAAGTTAGTGACTTCAAGCACTGATGCCACGTTTTGGTTTGGCCGCCCCTAACTTTCTTCCAACCATCTCCAACACCGGTTAGCATTGCACGTCGTGGTAATCGGTGTTCAGGCATACGTAACACGTGGCCCAACCATCTCAGTCGATGAAGATTCATAACTATACCATCATTCCCTAATACCCTGCGTCTAACCTCACTATTACTTACCCGGTGATCCCAGCAGACGCCAGCAATATTTCTAAGGCATCTGTGGTCAAATACTAGTAGCTTACGAGTGTCTTCTACTCTTAATGGCCATGTTTCGCTGCCGTAAATTAAAACAGAACGGACTGCCGCGCAGTATACTCGTCCTTTTATTGATAGACGGATATCTCGCCTTCGCCAAAGGTGACGTAAGTTGGCAAAAGCCAAACGAGCTTTTCGAATCCGTGCTGAGATTTCGTCAGACACCAACCCATTAGGGCTGATCAGACTTCCAAGATAAGTGAAGTTGTCAACGCGTTCGACTACTTCACTCCCTATCCTTAGTTCAGGTGTTGACGCAGACCAGTCCTGAAGCAACAACTTGCATTTAGAGGGAGAGAAGCGCATTCCAAACATTCTGGCATTGTTGCTCAGTGCTACCAGAAGACTCTGCATTTTGTCAGCGTCTTCACCAAACAGGACTATGTCATCTGCGTATTCTAAGTCGATAAGTGGACCTCCTGGATGGAGATCAATACCCGAGAATTCAGTCGACGAGAAAGTTATTTCCATCAGTAGATCTATGATGAAGTTAAACAAAAATGGGAAAGTGGACAGCCTTGACGGACACCACTTGAGGTTGCAAAAGTAGATGACAGTTCGCCATAAGCTCTGACTCGACTAGTAGTGTTCGAGTAAAGAGCCTTCACAAGGTTTATGTACTTCTGAGGTACGCCTTTCAATGACAGACACTGCCACAGAATCTCGCGGTCTACCGAGTCAAATGCTGCTTTTAAGTCAAGAAAGACCACCATTGTCGGACGCCGATAAGTATGCCTGTGTTCTAGAACCTGACGAATGGTGAATATGTGGTCGATGCAGCCACGACCAGGTCTAAAGCCAGCTTGGTTCTCTCGTGTTTGCAGTTCACGAGTCTTAGTTAGGCGTCTGATAATTATCGAGGCTAGTATTTTAGATATTATATTAGTTAAACTAATCCCTCTGTGGTTGTCACAGGATGATTTTGACCCTTTCTTATATATTGGGACGATAAGTGATTGTGACCAGTCAGATGGGATAACGTCTAACTCCCAGATTTTAGCTAAAATATTAGTCAACCTAATCGCTAAAATTGGACCACCATCCTTAAAGACTTCTGGAGCCAATCCATCTGGACCAGCTGCCCTTCCTCGTTTCAGATTAACTATAGCCTTTTGAACTTCAGCAAGAGTTGGGGGACCTACTTCAATGTTCCATTCACTGTCTGGGAATGGAGGGTAGTTGTAGAGTAGCTGAAGGCCAGCTGAACTGTTCTCTGAAATGTTCCGCCCATCGTTCTAAACGTCTGGACTGGGAGCAGATGAGAGTATCGCCTTTTTCCGAAATAATCTCACTTACACTTGACTTATTAATTCCAGTTTCTTTTATTAGTCTGTAAAGCTGTCTTGTGTTCCCTATAGTCGCCGCCTTTTCCATCTCTTTTGCTTTCGTTGCCCACCACTGCTCACGGTCGTTCCTTAGACTTTTTCTTAACCTAGATCTGATTTGTTGTCGCTCTTCATCATGTTCGGAACCTGATGGGACGAGTTTGCGAGAATCCATCAGTGTGATAGACTTTGAAGAAATCCACTGGTTCTTTGTAACTCTGTGGTTTAAGTCACTAATAGATGTCACTGCTGTTTCCACAGCTGCTTGTATGTCTTTCCAAGCAACATCTGGGTCAGCCTCGTCTTCAGAACTACCTAAGTGTGACCTCAGTTGTTCCTGGAACCTACTTTTGGTTTTCTCGTTACTCAACTCAGTTCTAATGGGTCTTTTTAATGTGGCTTTTTTGCGTCCAGTGAGGCGCAAGCAGATGCGTGCCCGTATTAGGGCATGGTCGGAGTCCAAGCAGGTACTCCAGAATGAGCGACAATCTTCTACCGACCCTCTCCAACGATGACTGATGGCAATATGGTCTATTTGAGTCCATCGTTGGTTTGGTGTAGGGGGTCGCCATGTTAGACGATGTCTCTCCTTATGCTTAAAATTTGTGTTTGCTAAAAATAAACGATTGTCTGAGCATAGTTGCAGCAGACGATCACCATTATCTGTTCGCTGTGTCGGAATACTAAAATATCCACCTAAATGCCTTTCTGTTTGGTTTAAACTACCTATCTGAGCATTAAAGTCACCCCCTACGAGTACTATGTCTGAGCGTTTAGCTTTCTGAAGAAGTTCGGAAGCTTTCTGTAAAATTCATCTTTCACTTCATCTGAGCTGCAGTCAGTGGGAGCGTAGGCAGAAACGACAAAAAGGCAACGACGTGTGTCCCTATCCTTCCGAGTTCTTACGGAGCCGTTTAGCCGAACAGCACATAGACGACTGTTGACGGGGATCCACTCTAGCAGTGCTTGTTCCGCCCTCATGCTTAGTGCTATGCCTACACCTGCCAGTCCACGAGAACTGGCCATCGGGTCACCAGATACACGAAGGGTGTATCTCGTTGGCTCTCCGTTTTGCCGAGGTGAGGTCAAGTGAATGACCACACTGGAATCCTGTATGCGTGTTTCGGAGACACAGCATACATCAATGGAAAGAGACTCTAGGGTTTTAGCCAAGGAAGCCTGCTGACCGATTTGACATAGGGTGCGTACGTTGAAGGCTCCAATGTGTAGTTTGGAGCGAGGTTTCAGTAGACCTGGGACAGTGTTTTGAGCACTAGAATCGTTGGCTATGGTGACACTTGAGGTGGAAGCCGAAGAGGAAATTTAGAGTTGAAAGTCGATGTAGGAGGAATAATAGGAATTGAAGAGGAGGTTGATTATGAATACAGTGGTCTTGAGTGTATGAGGGCGGTTATCACTTCCCGGTTGCCCACACCGTGGAAGGGTTGTTCTGGAGGTACCTGAAAAGGAAATTGGATTATAGGTGGTCTCAGTGACCTGAGAGCGTGACCGCAGTGCTTGAGGTCGGTCACACACGGCCTTTTTATGGGTAATTTTTGTGTTAGCTCCGTACTTATTGAGACCTTACCGCCGGAGACGGATATCCGTGGGATAAGGCGAGGTGTGCATTTTTAGGGTCGACCTTTTCTAACCCCACCCCTCCTTGTGGGAAGGCAGCATCGCTGTCATGCTGGTTGTCTGAAGGAAACACCTTACTGCTGTCACACCCCTCTACAGTCAGCTGCTTTTAGTCTTACCGCTCTTCAACCGACCTGTCTGACATGGTAGGACCTTGAGGAACGGTTGTTCCAGCCAGTATAGCTCGGTTGCTTCATCACAATAGGCAAGCCCGACCACCACGTCAAGGTAGCAACAACGGTCGGGATGTGGCTACTTTTAATACTCTGTGGAAACAACCAGTAACCTGACACTGTATAAAATAAAAAACGCAGATACGACTCGATATTAGGAAGATAGAAGTGCTGTATATGAAGATTTGTTGGTTTTATAAAATATACCCACAACGGACGCAACCATCAATTTCATAATTGATCCAAAAACTACATCAAATACACTGAATTATATGTGATCTACTTGTCTAACCAGTAGACTGATTTGAATACGTTGAGATAGGTTATTGTTGATGTAGATTATCGAGTAACTATATGAGTATGTAAAGTTTAAAACGACAGCAGTTTTAAATTTAGTAACTAACAGTACAACAAATTACTGAGTCACATAAAGATTGTGTGGAAATAGTTGAGATGAGACTAATTTGTAAACATTTTTTGTCATTCTTTATATTTTTCCACAATTTCATTTGAGGTATATAAACACAATGTTGACTAAAGAATTTTTAAAGTACGCTGTAGCAATGGACTGGCCAATGGATACTAGGTCATCAACTGAAGAAACATGGCATATACTTAAAGGCACATTTAGCTGTTACATCTGCATTTTTACTGTGCTTAATACCATGTAGACACTATAACTGTCCATTATAGATAACTAAAAACGTCGAGAAACATTTTAGACGTAGAGAAGGCATTAAAGCATGTTTGTCTAAACAGGCTTTGAACAGTATAGACCCACTTATCGTAAGACTAGAAGGACATGTAATGCGTTTGTAGGCCAGAATTTTGTATGCAAAACAATTGATCAGAGGTTGTGAAAATAGTTCAAAAATGTTACTGTTGCATATAAAAAGAAAACTCAGAGGAGTGATGGGATCCGCCTGAAGCATCGCCCAAGTATTTGGTTGAAAAAATGCTTTCTACACATGACGGTAAAAGATAAACTATTAATTGCAATAATGGCGATTTTTGGATGGATCCTTTGATTATTGAAAAGGAAGTTGTCCTACGATTACATTGCCGTCTCAAACCAGATAAGTCTGGTGCTCCTGATGATACTCATTTTATGATCATGGAAGCCCAGGAAGATATTATTTCAGAACCAATTACAACACTGTGTAGCATATCTCCAAAGCAGTCTAAATTATCAGGAGACTAAGAAGAAGCAGCAATCAGCTTGGTTAATAAGGTGGGAGAGGTATATACTTAGATAGTAGTTATCGGATCGATAATCTGGTCAATTCACTTGTTAAACTGCTGGAAAAGATTACTCAATAGCTCTTCTAAATTATGTGGAATCTAGTAATTTTCTAGAGAGAGGAGAACATAATTTTAAAGAGGCTTTTGATTTTTGACAAATTTCGTTTCAAGAGAGGAGTGGGATACATCCAAAGACAGTAAGATTCCGATAAATGTAATTATCATAGATATACGTAAGGTCTTAAACAAAGTTTTTAGTTAGGTCTTAGAGTAAAACTGGAAAATTCGGGGGTCTATTACAAAGTTAGAAATTTGACAAGCAAATTTCTGATTGATAAGAGGCAATGGGTGAGGGTAAAAATGTGCTTATGAACATGGGGATTATAAATTATAGGGGTTATAATTAACAGTGACATAAGAGCGGCAAGCAAGTGCAAGGCTGCCACTGCCAAAGGCTTTAGGGTTTAATGGATTATTCGTAAGTTAGTTCGTCATTGATATGAAAAAACGTCTAAGGCATCATACTCGGTGTTTGTGAGGTCTCATTTGAAATGTGGGATTCAAGAAGTGAGTCCTTGTTTCAAGTATGAAGTGAATACGATCAAATGGGTCCGACAGTGAGGGACCAAAATGATAAAAAGTCTCTCCTGTCTATCTTCCGAGAACAAAATGGGACGTCTCAACTCATTTTAGTTATCTAATCGCAGGTTAAGAGGTGGTTTAATACTGGCATACCGTACACCAAACCATGAGTGTCGTACTAATGTATATTACCGTTTTCTTCCATATAGGACGATCATCTGAGAAATATAAAACTGAAGTCACATAGTTTGCTGCCGGAGCTTTGCTTTTTGCATTGGATAATGAATTATTGAGATTTTCCATAAGAATACGTAATACCAAAACTTTTTCTAAATATATTCAAAGCGTAATTAGACCTTCACAGTAGTATCAATTGGGAGGATTAGTTTAGATCGTTTGATCTACTATCCCTACTTCTGAAAACTGAAAACTGATGAGCGATATGATTTATCTTAACGGCTGTAATTCTGTTACACTTACTTCCGATTTCTACATAAATGTTTAGCTTCCTTTCACTTAGTACTTCTCGTCCTTTCATATCATTTGTTTTCTGTCTAGTTTTCCTCAATCACTGTGCTAAAATAAAGTATATCGGCATCAATTGATACTTATTTACGGTATATTACAGTATTCTAATAATAAACACTGACACGTTTCAGTAACACAGGTTGTATCACAAACTTCGACATTCCAGAATTAACGAAGTAATCAATTAAACTCCCAGCAACTATCTCATTTTATAAGATATTCCATCAATTCTGAGGAAAGTTGAGAAATGGTCAACAAGTAATTTTGGTATACCTGAGACTACAACTCCCAAACTAAACGTGGTCAGGGAATGTCTTTCTCTTAAAGTTTAGACGTACTATAACAAAATCTACACAACACGACTTAAGAGTTTCAAAAATTTCTGATACTTTCGAGAAAACGTGAGAAGTTTCTCTTGCAAAATGCCTCTACTACTCGTCATTATTATTTAAATATTCTATTAATTAAGTAATACAACCAAAATATCACACAACAGCGAACCTCGAATATATTTCCATTTTCGTATTCTATTTTATTTACTATTCCAAATGTCTTTTTGAATTCACGAGAACATCTTTTAACTCACAAAAACTTAAGAAAACTGTACTTGCGAAGTATTTGTGGATATAAATCGAATAACTGCACATAGTTGTTCAAATCTTTGTCATTTGCACTGAGAGTTGACAGATACTTATCATTTGTATCTTCTTCTCCTTCTAAGTTAACAATATTTTCCTCATCATCCAATATCTCAATTTTCGGAGTTGGTGGGCTTGACATTTTAAATCTGCAGACGGCATTTTACCATGACATTTTAAAGACAGCAAGTTTAAACACTTTCATACAGAAACATTCCTATAGGTGTCACTCCATCAATGATGGAATAAATCACGATGAACGTCAAACAAATCAAGAGTGAGGAAGCAGTAGGACCTGACAACATACAATCTGGAGATCTGAGATCAGATATAAATGTAACTGCATACATACACCATATTCTATTCAAAAAGCTTTAGAAGGAGGAACAAGAGTTGACGAACTGGAAAGAAGGATACCTCTTCAAAATACCGAGGAAAGGAGATCTGAGCAAAGGTGAGAACTGTAGAGGCATCACACTGCTATTAGTACAAAGACGGTTTTGTCCCTGAACAACCATCCTTGATCGCAAGGGGAAGGTTGACGTCATACACCTTGAGTTCTCAAAATATTTAGATGGGGTCAACCATATATGTTTTATCAATAAGCTCAAACGATTGAGTATCTAATCGCCTCTAATTGATTGGCTCACTTCATATACAAAAAATTGACATATTAACGTCGAGGTTAACTTCACTTTCTCTCAAGCTATGGAATGTCTTAGTGGGGTCCCACATGGTTCTGTACTAGGACTTCTTATTCTCCTTATTTGTATAAACGATCTTTCACGACAGGTATCGTCTAACTGATTGCCTTTTGCTGGTGACGTGAAACACTGGAGAGATAAGCAACCAAGAGGATATACCGTTACTTCAGGAGGATTTGACTCGACTTCAAAGTTGGGCAGATGACATTGGACTTGCTTTTAACACTTCAAAGTGTAAAGTTGTCCATCTGAGACTTGCTGCAGACTACAGTAACAACTTAGGAAACTCTTGCCTAAAGGTATCTGTAGTTGAAAAAGATTTAGAAGTTCTGGTACCCTACGATTTGGGGTCTTATGCTAACTGTGACAAAAATGCCTTCCAAGCAGACCTCGCACTGGTAACATTGAAGCGCATTTTTTGGCCAGTTTGACGCAAGAATTTTCCACATAATCTTCAACAGTTTTATTCGTTCCCATTTAGAGTATGGGAACATGGTATTTCCCCCCTCATTCCAAAAGCATGAGGACACTCTGGAGCATATCCAACGTCTGGCCACGAAATCAGTTCAAGGACTCAAATTTAAACCTTATGAAGAGCGCCTTCAATCGCTTAACCTTTACTCACTAGAGTAAAGGCATCTTAGAGGCGACATTCTAATGGCTTATAGTATCCTTAACACTTCTGGACATCCCCTTCAACACCCACTTAAGCTTAGTCTCAATACAAACTTAAGGGGTATCACCCAGAAACTAGAAATACAACACAGCAGAGCGGTCTATAGACACAAATTCGTGTGTTGTATGAGTCAATAGCATACAGGTTTTTGTTTCAAAGCTATTGCAATTTAAACGTAACCCTCGATACTCCATTTTCTACTTTGACGCTTAGTTTGGTGATAACTGTACTTTCCTAATTGTTTTTAAATTGTGGTCTTGTCAGTCGTCTATTTACTAATGTATCTTTTTACGCCGAACTGAATCAGGAATAGGGAATAAATTGAGTTGTATTCCAAACGACTTGTTTTCTCTGTAGCTAACTTATCAAGCAGTCAGTCTATAGAATGGCTATCGTCTACCCAAACCCGTTAGTCTGAATTCGGATTAACGCAATTGTAACGAAGGGAATGCCAATATTCGATTTTAACGCATAACTAACGAACCAAAATTTATTTGATTAAACCAGACTACATTCTTCTGTGTAGCGCAGAAAGCGTTTTTGAGTTGCTCGTATTAAATTATATCAACACACTAAACATGTGCTCATTTCAAGTGGTGCTAATTTAAGAAAGAGAACAAATTAAATCAGAAATGCAAAACATCTCAAACGGTTCAGCCTGTGCCATACAGTCAAGAGTTTCTCTGGGACAATTTAGCGTGCTAAACAACAAAAGAGATAGTTAGTACAAAAGTGTTCAATACCTGAGAATTAATAAAAATATCTCCAACAGGAAGGCAACAGACGTATATCTGCAAAAATTCTAGCAATCGTTCCAGGCAGACAATCCAAGGTTAACAGTCACACACTGAACCACATCATGACATTGAGCTTAGTAAAACATGACCATACTGTTAATAGTACTGCAATAGAAAGTTAGATAACAAGTGGTAAGTCACACAATAAAAGCTCAGACGAGGAGGACTGAAAAACACAGTGTTGTTAAAAAAGATCTGAATAAAGGTTGAAATACACGACAGGGAGAAGAAACAGATACATGATAGTACTGTCCAACAAAATGCTTTGGAGGGATTTTCAGCGTTTTCTTTCCGTTACAGCGGTTCTGGCCTCAAGGTTAAATCAGTTTACCTATCGTATCAAGACCTTAACCTAAGTTGAGACATGTTGTCTCCCACATATTATTTGAAAAACGGATTAAGGACGTAAAGATTTTTAGAGACGTGAAGTTGTTGAAGTGGCAATTATTTGTTGTTATCTTCGTTTACATATCAGATGGATTATTAATGTTACCAAATCTCTGGAATCTTTCAAGTGGTTGATGTAGGTGATCAATATGTCCATCGAGCAGACTTCTGGCCAGTTATAATAATGGCATAAAATGGCTGATCTAAGCTGGCTAGCTGTTGTAGATGTGGAACACAACGTACCCCCTCGTGATCTAGTGCGGATGCATGATCGAGCACCTTCAGATATGTGAGTTCGGTAAAACTAGTGTGGTCAGTATTAAATGTCGAAGACCTGTAGAGCCATTGGTTCTGAAGATTTATTTACTGCAACATGTTTCGACGTTGAATCAGTTCTACTTAGTTTACTTGCTCCATCTGTCGTTCAAGTCGTATTATTACCAATAGTTAAGGCGACAATGCTTTCAAGATAACTCTTTCATCCACAATATTTGTTTTCTAATTTCTTTCAAGTCAGGAGTTTTATTACAAATAAAAAAGTTCTAAAACGATTAAATATTTCATACGGTTTTCTACGCAAGTAAATATCAATGAAATATCAGCCCATCAAAAGGCCAATGTTAAACAATGTGTTATTTAGTCACCTCAATGGGACACTGAATAACCTTGATAATACAGAAAGATTAATAGTACTGAGTGTAATAATGATAGAGAAATTCTCTGATCTGTCCCAAAACTTATTGTCATTGCTAAAAATAGGTCAGCTCACAAAGACTAGACATAAACTGTAAATGAATGTGAAGGTATTATGTAATGTTCAGGACATATATGTAGTAAAATACAAACCTTCTTTCATTTCTCGCCACCGCCACATAGTGCTGATTACAGTAAATGCGCAGAAGCGATTTTCATTTGATTGGTAGCACATTTGTGACTTATTCAAAGTTTATTTAACATTTTGACTGCTTGAACAACTAATTTGAAGTGTTTTACATCTTCAAACTAAAGTGTAATTAGCACTTTAGGATTGAGAACTCTGTTCATTAGATTTCATGTTTACAGGCGTTTAGTATTTGATTTTCCGGCACTTCATCAATCGATTCGAGCTGTCGATAACTTAACGTTAATAAATTACATACTACACTTATCATCGCTGTATCCTACCTGTCCATTCTTGATACCAAGCCTAGTGTGTTTATACACCATTATGATGATGTTTTATTAATGTGGATCTAATATTCATGTGCAGTCTTAAAATAAATTGAAATTAAACATTACATTGTTGTTATTATCACTGCATTAAAGAACAAACTTTTACAAAATAAATAGCTGTCCAATACTATCTAAGACATACAGGTAAAGCGATCCAGATAGATAGAAGAAATTAATAAAGTGAAGATGCACAAAGTTTGCTCAGAATGATCAATAAGAAGAGATATTGCTGATATTAAGAATTAATATTAGGTTTTATTGCTGGATAAACATGTCATTGAAATCTGCTCACAAATATAAAATGGTGAAGTTGTGTTTCTTTTTGATGTTCATGCATAAGTATTGAAGTTAGCACTTTCTTAGATAATTTCTAAAAAAACAATGAACTAAAGAGTGATTGATCTACTTCTCACAACATTTTTTGTTTAATTTATCGGCTTCCATAATAGGTTTCATTTGTACAAGATGTGAAGTATTCTGTAATTGATTATTTGATTCAGGTAGCTGCATAAATTTGTGATTAATTTCTCTTTTGATCAATTAATCTAGTACGAAACAAACCTTAAGGTTAAAGTTTCCATTAAGGCTTCCTCCTTAAACAGCCATTTTTCAACCAATAATGAAGATTTGTATACCATGTAGGCTTGATAAATGGAAGAGAATGTGCCAATAAGCAGAAGCCACATTCAGGTCTTGATCTCCACACATAAACATCTCTGTGACCATGCCATGCAAAATATTCATTATAAGGTGATACATTTTATTCAAGTAATTTGAACACTTTGAAAGGTTAAATGGTGGTTTGAACTTAGCGACATGAATAAATGCATGAGGGGGGTGAAATTCTCGAATACTCTTCTACTGCTGCTCCCATTACAATCGGTACTATATTGTATCTATACAATCAGATAAAAAACAGGGTAAAATAATGAATTTAGGTTCTATAAAATATAGGTAGAAAGCATTGGCACTACCCTCATGTACACCGACAAAGTACACTGAAATAAAATATCAATTATTCACACTAACAATGGACTAAGTAATTTTAGCTTCAGAAATGGATTCCAGTAAAGTTAAAGCATTATCCGGATATTGATCAGTAAACTAATCAACTGATAATCTATTTATATGTTTTACCTCATTTTGTTAGCACAGATATAGAACTAACATCTAATTAGACATTCCATGACATTTTGACATTAAAGTATGGACCGAAAGTATTTGGTTTCAAATGTCTCTCCAGAATTACTGGAGTATGGAGAACAGTGGAGTGAATGATAATGAGATCAAAGTTAAGGTACTAGTTTTAAAGAAACAAGTTCATTGGTGCATTCGTATGTGTTCATCGATGAAGATGGTTAGGAGATAGGCTACTCAAGCCTAACAATCTCCT